AGACCTGCGACACCTGTGGGACCTGTGGGACCTGCGGAATTGTAGGACCTGAGAGACCTGCAAGACCTGTGGGACTTCTGGCGCCGGCGGGACCTGTGGGACATGTGGGCCCTGGGCGGCCTTTGCTGGACTTGTGAGACATGTGACACCGTTGGTGGACCAGCGGGAGCACCATTTTGAAACACCGAAAACAATCGGGCTGTCAAACGGTCGGCCCAATCCTGTGTGGAAAAAGATGACGCGGAGAGGGGCGGGACATTGTCCAGACAATTTGAGGGGAGAGAGGAGAGTAGTATTCAGATCTTGTAAGTGTAGAGAGGAGAAAGGAGAGAGGAGAGAGGCAAGCCAGGTGCGATCGCGCCACATCTGGCATAATATCCCTCCCTCTCATCCTTTCCCGTTGCGCTGATGTATTTCTCTATGCGAGGGCGCGTGTCATAGCCGACCTGGAACTCCAACAAACGGACGCCATCGTGTTATGCGCACTCGGAAGAGGGGAGCTGCGTGCATAGGCGGAGGAGGCGGCGGGTGAGCAGGAGGATGAGCAGGAGGAGAAGGAGAACCACGTGAAACGGGAAGGGGGGCGACGAAAAGTAGCAGCAGGAGCTGGAGTGGAAGGAGCCGGAGAAGCAGGGCGACCAGGTGGGGGCGGAGGAGGGAGAACGAGGGGGGCGACAACAACGAAGGAGGACCTGGGATCCAAAATAGTGGGCGCCCGTTGGGGCGCGAGCGCCATTCTGAACGACGGGAGCAAAACGCCGATCCGAGAATGAAGCCCACGCTGCAACGAACATCAATCATGTGGTGAGTGGCGCGAGAAAACCAAAGTTTAGAGTCTTATGCCTGTGAAGCAATAGTCGCTGAGAGGGCCAGGTATCATCCGGGCAGGGTCGGGGGAGAGAGGAGAGAAGCATGCACAATGTGCAAGTGCAGGGGAGGGGAAGAGAGTTGTGGGGCCATATTCAGGGCTTGGTGTGCCGACGTGGGCTGTCGGAAGCCCTATACGACGAGAGCGTTAAAAGCATGAGGAGGCATCATCGTAGAGGCATAGTAGGCCGCCTTCTAGCAATGTGGGACCGCCTTGCAATCATCTGAGAGCGTCTTGTAGTCGTCGCGTCCGACTTGGAGGCCACATTCGCCGTCTTTGAGGCGTGTTTGGCCGTCTTGGAGACCATGTTGGCACGTCTTAGACTCAAGACTGAAACCTCTACTGGGCGTCGGGGAGGCGGGGAAGCTTTCTTCGGGGTTCGCTCTGGTTTTGCCGAGCGGCCGGCTGGATAGGCCGAGGCCCCACTGGGAACCTCTTCGAAGGACCAAATAGTATTCACAAATCTGGCACGCCAAGCATTTCTGTGCAAGCAAAAGGGGGCGAACGGCTCACGGCTTACGGCAAAAGGGTGGAAAGAGGAGTTCGCCCGTTTGAGGCCCTCTCGGGGCCTCCTGGGGGCTGTGAGCCTTCTGGGGCGTTGTAGAAGGGGCCTCATGTAGGCTTCCTGGAGTGTCTTGGGGGTCTCCTGGGGCCTCCTGGGCACCTCTTGGGGGCCTCTGGGGGGCTCTATGGGACCTTGGCCTTCGGAGGCCGTCTTGGAGGTCTCTGGGGCAGTATTGGGGGCCTCCTGGGCCGTCTTGGAGCCATCTTGGGCCGTCTTGTGGGCCTCTTGGGTGCCTCCTGGGGCGATCTTGGGGGCCTACGGGGCCGTCTTGACGCGTCGGAAACCCGAAAAGGCAAGAACAGGGAGGCATTCTGACCAGGGACCACCATTCCCCACGCCCCACCCCACGACCCCCTCCCACCCCCCCACCCCATGGCAGGGAACTGATAAGGCGAAGGGAATCAACTGAAGTACGACATTCATTTTCCTGGTTCCTCAGTTCCCTTAGGACTGTCGACGACGACGACGACCACGACGACGACGACGACGACGACGGCGACGGCGACGGCGACGACGACGACGACTAAAACGGAAAAGCGTCTCACACACGCCGATGGGTCGGCGGACTTGTTGTGCACGTTGAGGTCTTTACGCGGCTCTCCGGGTGGCAGGTGGGTGGAACCGAAGGCCCACTGTGAACCTTCAACAAAAAGTTCAAACCAACCTCAAATCCAGCACGCCAGGCATCCTTGTGGCAATCCAACAGAAGCGGCTGATCGAAGACGCCTACGGCGAATCACCGCCGCCCACTGCGTTGTAGGATACGCCAATGTAGCCAAACGTTCGGCCAAAGTTTGGCCACGCTGTTGGACCATGCGTTTCCCCAGCCGTTGAGCAGAAGGATGAGGAGACCTCTTGGGAGCTTCTTGGGTCATTCTTGGGGCCTCCTGGGAGTTTCCTGGGGGCCTCTTGGGAGCCTCCTCTTGGGCCTTTGGGGGCCCCTTGCTTTGGCCGTCTTACGACGTTCCTGGCCGTCTGATGCCGTCGGAAGCTGGCTTGTGAGCCGCTCTGGACCGTCTTGGGGCCTTCCTGAAGCGCTTCAGGGCCATCTTGGACGTCTTGAAGGCCTCTTGGGCCGGGCCGTCTTGGCGCCCTTTGGTGCCTTCTTGGGGGCCTCGTGGGCGATCTTGGAGGCCTCTTGGGCCGTCGGAAGGCTGTTTTGAAGCAAACGCCAAAATCCGCCCAAAACATTGGGAACAATGTATTTGACCTCTCCAGGCATTCCTGTGGATCCTTCTGAAAACCTCTTGGGCCATCTTGAATGCCTCTTGGAGGTTTCTTGGGCTGTCTTGGGCCGTCTTGAAGCCATCTTAGGCCGTCTTGAGTGCATCTTGGGGCGTCTAAGAGATCGATTTCAGCCATCTTGGGCTCTCTCGGGACCTCCTTGGCAGTCTTGGAGGCGTCTGGAGACCATCTGAGGCCATCTTAGCCGTGCCGGAGGCGATTAAACCCAATAAGCTGTGGATGTTCGGCGGATTTCTTGGTGTCTGACAGTCTGGGCCGAGACCCCTCGGGGAGTTTTGTAGAAAAGAGCCAAAGCATTGCCAGACTTGTGGCACGCCGTGCACCCCTGTGGCAAAACCACAGGGGGCGGCGGATCTAGTGGCCTTCGACCTATCCCGCCACCGTGCCTGGGTCGTGGGTCAGAGGCCTCCTGGATGCACATTAAGAAATCTTGGGATGTCTCTTGGGGGTCTCTTTGGGAGGTTTCTTGGAGTCTCTTGAGCTTCGTTGGAAGAGTCTTGGGGGCCTCTTGTGGGCGTGGTGGCAGTCTCGGGTGCCATGTTCGGGGGGAGGGCTCGGAATGCCAATTCGTGTTCCCCCTCTGCGGCCACTCTTGGAGCCCTCTTAGGGACGTCTCGGGCCATCTTGGGGCCGCTTGGGGAGGGCTTGGGGACCCCTTTGGGAGCCCCGTGGGCCGTCTCGGAACGCTGGAAGCCCGAAAAGGCGAGAACGCTAAAATCATAATAAAACCTAAGGGTGATCAATGAGTGTTCCCTCTTGGAGTCCTCCTGGGGGTCCTCTTGGAGTTCTCTTTCTTGGGGCCTCTTGGTACCGTATTGGGCTATCTTGGAGCGCTCATGGGCCGTCTCGGGGCCCGATCGAAGCGTCCCAGGGAGCTTTTCCAGACTCTCCTAGCCCGTTGGGGGGGCCCTCTGGCATCAGAAAAGGTCACGCGACAAGGCCCCACACGGTGTGCGACAAGCCGCAGGAACGCCCATCAGCGCCCTGAATTCGAGGATGTGGGCCAGTGAAGGAATACGAACTGCTCCATACAGGAACTCTACGGGGCCCGAGGACGCTCCACGCTGTGCTCGGCGAACCCGTGGCGGATCTGGCCCGTTGGTTTGTTATTGTGTTGTAGTTTGGTGCATGCTTCGTATGATTTGGCACGGCGGGCTTCTCTGTGGGGTCCGATGTGTCCAGTGTTTTCCCGAGTGTCTTAGTCTGATGTTCTGAACATGCTGTGCCAGAATGGTGGTTCTTTCCTGTGGCCCAGCGCCGTGCTGTAATGAAACGGCTTGCAGTCAAGACGCTGAAATAAGGACAGCGTTGGGTTCGGAAGGGGTTCGCTGTTCCCTGAGCTCTTCCATGTCTGCTCTTCTGTCACTCCTCGTGCACCTAGGCGCCTCTGGGGCCAAATAGAACGTGCTTCCTTATTTAGGGTTCCTTCCGGTGGCACCTCGATTGTAGTCTCGTGCTTTTCAGGAGGGCCATTTGGCATGGTGCTGCAGTGTAATATGTGGGTCTGGTGTTCTGGACCTATACTATATAATAGCTTGGTGTCTTAGTATTGCATTTGAGCCTCGTGTGTTTGGTATGGCCGTCTAGTTCTAGCGCAGCGTGCTTAGCCTTATACCTCAGTGTACATCGTTGCGAGAAAAAATAGCATTTGGCTTGGATGCAGGACGATTGACGACTGGCGGAGTGGGCGGAGTAGAAATTACTCCGTGCGGACACGCACACTACCCAATGTTGCATGATGGATTGGGCGGAGTGGTTTCCGATCCTGGCTTGAGATAGCAGAGCTATGGACCAAAGACTCGCCCGAGTTACTCCGCAGGAGCGCAGGAGCCGCCTGCCCGCGTCAGGAATCTTCGGAGGGATGGAAGATCCCAGCAGCATACCAGGCCGCACAGGCTTTTGTCACGGCGGCGTTGAGTTTCCGTCTGGTGCTTCGGCCTGGTATTCGCCCGCCTTTCTCCACACACACACACACACACACCAACGTGCATCCCTCTGCGCCGTCTCATCTCGCCGCTCCACCTCCCCCCCTTATCCTGTCCGCTGGCAGCTTCTGTTCTGGACTGCACCCACGGCCTCGGAGAAGGGGCGCACCGCATTCTAACAGCCAATGTGCCACTCCTGACCGTCCAGGCTTCCTTGCAGAGCTCTTCTCTGCGGCAGCTCGGACCTCGGAGGTGGGGACCCGCTCCGGATGACGCCCGCGTGTTCTCGGAGAGGGAGGCCCCCGCAATCCCAGGGCCTTCGAAGCCTCTCCGATCCCCCGTCGCGCAGCTCTCTGCGACCCCTCACGCGGTCGCGGCCTCCCCGGCACGCCCCCAGGCGCACAGCGACACGGGAATGGGCAGCCTTCCCTACATGGCGGCGGGCCCAGCTCTGCCTCCGCGGCCCCCCCCCCCCTCTCCCTCTCCCTCCCGCCAAGCTTGTCTTCTCTCCCCAGAACCTCCTCCCCTTTCTCCTCTTCCTCTCCTTTCTTTGTTGTGAACTCTACATATTCCTCTTCCTATATTTTTACAAGCCCGGGCGGGGGGGAAACCCATCCCCCCCCCCCCCCAAAACCGGATTCCCGGGATCTGGGGCTTTGGGACCCTCCGGACGGGCCTCGAAGCGGCCCCCCGGGCCTCGCAGGGCGTTTTGCCAAGCCTTCCCAGCACACCTAGGGCGATCAGGGGGGTCATCGGAGACGTCCCAGAGACCCCCAAGACAGCACAAGAGCGCTCCAAGAGTGACCGACGTGACCTCAAGATGGCCCAAAAGGCCTCCAGGACGGCCCCAAAGAGGCCTCCAAGAGCACTCCAAAGAAGGCCCCAAGAGGCACAAATCTTTGATTTTCTGTTGGTTTTTGTTGAATTTGGGGGTTCTCCTCTTTTCGGCTTCCCGACGCTCCAAGACGCCGGTCTTCTGGGCGTCCGAAGCCGCCTGGGAGGCTCCAACATCGCCCCACAACCATCCGAAAGGACTTCCAGGCAGTCCAAGAGAGCCCCAAAACGGCACAACACGGGTCCAAGATCGCCCTCAGAGAGCCCCATGGCGGCCCAAGATGGCCCCAAGACACCCTCCGAAGCATTCCAAATCGTGACCCGGTCGTTCAGGGAGACCGCGGTTGGAAGCAGGGTGGCCCGAGGAAGTCCCCAGAGGCCCCCAGAATACGGCCAGGAGGCCTCCAGAAGGCCTTAAGAAAGCCTGAAACAACTTTTGTGAGGCCCCCAGAGGCTCTCCAAGGAGGAGCCTCCGCAAAAAAGAGCTGAGGAGGATGGGGAGAATGCGCAGGGTATTGCGAAAATAAAGAAAAATAAGCATGGAGGAAGGATAACGAATAACATTAGTATGGCGGCGATGCCGGCAAAGGCAACAAGGAGTTATCTTTAACTTGTCGGCTTGACTTTCCTGCTATTCCGCCTGCATACCAAACTTCAAGGACCAAGGTGCATGGCGCGAAGCGCCACTGCAGTCTTGTATATCTATATATATATATATAAAGATTATCTCTCTCTCTCTCTCTCTCGGGCGCGAGCGCTGTTCCTGACTATCGTCCGGCAGGGAGCGACTGATGGCCGGAGCGCGCCGCGGAGCGCCAGCTGCGCCACGTCGGCGGGCAAGGGTTATAGCCCTCTCGCCTCGCGGTGCGGGAGGCGGGTGGCGCGTGCTTCCTCGTGTGCGTGGCACGGAAGGGACGACTCCATCTCTGGAGACGTTTGGCCTGGAAGGTGGTTCTTGGGTGCCGATCGTGCAGTCGAGAAGGTTTAATCCTCGTCTGGAGCGCTCAGAGTAGGGCAACAAAAAGAGACATAAGCATGAAAACTCGGAGGTCCGCGCGGATTTCTCGGATCGGCGCTGGGGCCCCCTGGCGGCGCCTCCGGCGCCGCCCCTGGCGCGCTCCGCACGCCAGGGAGGGGGGTCCAGCGCCGATCCGAGAAATCCGCGCGGACCTCCGAGTGTTTATCAAGAAGGTCAAATTCTCGTCTGGACCGCTCAGACTCTCAGAGGCCCCTCGGCGTCTGGGCAAGAGCTACGACCCCTCGTGCAGAAAGCACGAGGCGCCCGCTCGAGGCCGTGGTCCTTCGCAGAGGACGTGCAGGGTGCTCCCGAGGCCGCGGTCCGCGTTCCCAGGGCTGCGATCCTTCGTTCAAGAGCAAAGGAGAACAAACAAACCGAAAGCATAGGAGCACCGCTCTGGAGGTCAGTTTCTTGCGCAGGCCATGGGTCACGCGCCGCCGAAGCACGCAATCCTTCGTGGTGGCGCCACCAAGAAGGCCTCCGAGCGCATGAGAGCTTTTCGGGACCACCGAGAGCGCCTGGGAGACTTCGCGAGTGCGCCGCAGCGCTTGGAAGCGCCTGGGAGCACATGGGAACGCCCCCGAACGCCTGAGAGTCTCTTGGACTTGATGACAACGCGCGGGAGCGCCTTGGAGCGCTGGGGAACGCAGGGGGGGCGCCTCGGAGTGCATGGGGGCGCCTGGGACCGCCTGCTAGCGTCTGGGATTGCCTGGGGAACCTTGGGAGGCCTCGGAGCGCCTGGGGGTGTTTGGGAGCGTTTGGGAGTGCCTGGGCGCGCCTCGGAGCGCGAGCGCTTGGGAGCGAACGGGAGCGCCGGGAGAGCTTGGAAACGTTTGGAAGCGCTGGGAGCGCATGGAAGCGCTTGGGAGCGCCTGGGAGTTGTTGGGGGCGCCCGCGAGCGCATGGGAGCGCTTGGCAGCGCTTGGGATCGCTTGGGGGCGTCTGGGAGTGCATGGGAGCACCTGGGAGCACGTGGGAGCGCACGGTAGCGCTTGGGAGCGCCTGGGGGCACAGGGGAGCGTTTGAGAATACTTGCGAGCGCGTGGGAGCGCTTGGGAACTCCTGGGATCGTCCTTGGAGCAGCGGGATGCCAGCAGACGCGGCGCAGCTGCGACGCCGCCAGAGGAACCGCGTGGAACATCGAAGAATCATGGACGCCATGAAGAAAACTGATGGTCCTTGGGCACCCGAGGAGTCTTGATGCGGCCTAAGGGAAACCGAGGAAGCCCCTTCCATCGCTCCACGCAGACCCCCTCCCACCAGCTCCCCACGCGGTGGTCGCGCAGCGGGATGCCAGCTGATGCGACGCAGTTGCGACACCGCCAGCGGAACCCCGTGGAACTTCGAGGAACCCTAGCGCGCCCTGCAGGATCCCGAGAACCCCTGCGCAGCTTTTCGGGCAGCCCCCCCCGCCCCTCCCTTGCGGAGGTCGCGCAGCGATCGGTGCGCGGAGCGCGACCCCCGCGCGCGACGCGCTCGACGTGCCAATCGCGCAGCGACGCGCGCGGAGCGAGACCCCGCCACCCATCATCGCAGGAGAGCCTCCCCTCCACTCCTTTGCGGGGGTCGCGTAGCGACCGATGCGCGGAACGCTACACCGCCACGCGCGGCATATCACCAATTACCAGTGGCACCGCTTGTAAGGCCCCAGTCGCGGAGCGAGGCCCCGCCGCCCTTCATCGCACAGCGCAGTGCCCGGTTGGATGCGACGCGAGCGCTTCAGGGTTGGATGCGACGCGAGCGCTTCAGGTGGCGGCGTGGGGTTGGAAGCGAAGCGGGAGCTACCTCTCGAGCGCAACTTGGGGGGTGGGACACGAGCATCGCGAGCGCGCACAGGAGCATGTCACCCCCCACAAGTCTTGTCAAGGAGGACGATGCGTGCGCGCGCTCCTTGCCAGCACTCCCCTCTCTCTCTCTCTCTCTCTCCCCCCTCCCGTCCTCCCCACCGTCCCCCCCCCCTGGTCAGACCTCTTCCCTGCGGCTGGGCGCGCTCGACCGCGATCTGATCGATTCCGCCGGCACCAGGCTGCGATGGGCGCAAGGGGGCCCCGCGGCCCGAGGATGGGGAACCGTTGCCTGGGCGCCCCTTGCCAGGTGCGGCAGTTCCCCTCCCGCACCCCTGGCCTCCCCCCGAGATGGATGAAGAGGACGGGAGGAGGGGGGGGAGGGGGGGGAGGAGGAGGCGGAGGAGGAGGAGGAGAGGAGGAGGGGAGGGCAAGCTACGCGGGTTCGCTCCATGTGTGACGCCCGATTCTTTCCATCACTTCCCGCTGTGCTGACCCCGTTTCAGCTCTCAGAGTCAAGCTGCTAAAGAAGGGACCTTCCCCGAGGGAGTCACGAGCACCACTGCCACGGCTGCGGCGACAGCGTCGTTCCGTTCGGCAGAGGCCCCTTCGTGAACACAATATGTACCTAGCGCACCAGCGAGAACACCATTTTCAAAGGCAATAGACGCGATCAACGCATGCAAAAATGCCACCACCAAAACCACCGCTGCGGCAACAGCGCCAGTCCGTGTATGTATACATATGCATACACACAAACACGAAAAACATCATCATCATCATCATCATCATCATCAGCAGCAGCAGCAGCAGCAGCATCAGCACCAGCATCATCATCATCATCACCATCATCGTCATTATCATCATCACCATCACCATCATCATCATCAACAACAACGTCAACAACTCCCACCTCCTCCTCCTCGTCCTCGTCCTTGCTCCTCACCCGCCTCCTCCCTCCGCCCTCCTCGCCCGACCTGTGGGACGAGTGGTTACCGGGGCCCGGCGCGTGAGGCAGGTCCGCGTCCGCCGAAACCCGGAGCCGAGCAGGACCCGCACCGACAGGAGGTTGGGCCAGCGCAGCCCGAGGGAGGAGGAGAGCCGAGAGAAGAACCACTAGGACCATGACCAAGATGTTGCGGGGTCTTGTCCCCGCAACATCATGCCTGGGCCTCTCGACAGATGGCGAGGGCGGGGGCTCCGCGTGGGGGAGCGCTGCCGCCGCGGATGCCTGGCACGCCGCGCGGCAGGTGGGAGCTCCCCTCGGACAGTGGGCCCCCCCTTCACCACGGCCGAGTTCGGACTGCTCGACCAAGCAGTTGACCGCCTTCCACTGGGACCACCAGGAGCCTCCAGAGCCCCGATGGGTGTTTTTTGGGGGGTCTTGTCGATGCCGAGCGTGGTCATGGTGCATGCTGGCCGTCGCCCACCCGCGAGGATGCGCCGGGAGCTGACGTTGACCAGGGTCGCTGGTGGCTCTTGGTCACGGGCCCGATTCCTCCCTTCCAGACAGGGTGCACAGGCGCGAGGCGAGCCCCCTGGCCTCCCGTGAGATCCGACGTTGCGAAGAACTGCACCGTCGGAGAAAGTCACAACGGGAACCCCAGAATCCATCCCCGCGCGTCCTTTTCCGGGAAAGGGCTCGGGCCCAGGGTTTTCTTTAGGGGGTAAAGCTTTCCCCCGGGTCAGATTTCTGTAGGGCCGGCTACTTCATCTGCGACAAATAACGGGGTCAAGTCCCATTCGGCGTGGAAAAAATGCATCTCACGCGTGCAGGCTCGAGGAAAATTTGCCCCCCCGTCTCGGATCTTCGATAAATAACGGGGTCCGCGGACCACAGCTTGCCTTCGTAAAAAAAGGTGCGGGGCATTTTTATCAGAATCCTTGGAAAAAGCTAAAGTCTGGAGCCCCGACCAGGACACAAAAAATTGGAAATGTTGATTTTTTGCGTGCCCGCTCGAGGATGGCGCGTCCTGCGCGCAGAAATTCTGGGGATGTCTCAGGCGAAACGCTCGTTTTGCAAAATTTGACGGGTCTGGGCGCTCAAGGACGCCCAGGGAGCGAAAACCCATTGTAAGATACGAAGGATCGCGGCTTTGGGAGCGCGGACGCCGCCTAATTTACAAGGGATCCTGGCTTTGGGAGCGCGGATGCCGCGCAATTTACAAGGAATCGTGGCCTTGGGAGTGCGGGGGCTGCGTAGTTTTTATGTGTCCAGGCCACCCAGTGATAGCTAACATGAATGTCCCGAGCCATGACCACGTGTTGAAACGCGTCCAGGCCACCCAGGGGTGTATCTAACATGGTTGCCCAGAGCTGGATCCAAGTGTGTTTACGTGTCCAGGCCACCCAGCGGGATATCCAACATGAACGTTCCGCACTGGAACCACGTTTTTTACGTGTCCAGGCCGCCCAGGGTGGTATCTAACATGTTTGTCCCGAGCTGGCACCACGTGTTTTTACGTGTGCAGGCCACCCAGGGGGGGATATCTAACATAGTTGTCCCGAGCCAGGACCACGTGTTTTAACGTGTCCAGGCCACCCAGGGAGGGTGTATCTAACATGGTTGCCCAGAGTTGGTCCCACGTGTGTTTACTTGTCCAGGCCACCCATGGGGAAAACCTGACATGGTTGTCCCGAGCTGGAACCACGTTTTTTTACGTGTCGAGGCCGCCCAGGGTGGCATCTAACATGATTGTCCCGAGCTGGCACCACGTGTTTTTACGTGTGCAGGCCACCCAGGGGGGGATATCTAACATAGTTGTCCCGAGCCAGGACCACGTGTTTTAACGTGTCCAGGCCACCCAGGGGTGTATCTAACATGGTTGCCCAGAGCTGGTCCCACGTGTGTTTACATGTCCAGGCCACCCAGGGGAAAACCTGACATGATTGTCCCGAGCTGGAACCATGTGTTTTTCATGTCCAGGCCGCCCAGGGTGGTATCTAACATGATTGTCCCGAGCTGGCACCACGTGTTTTTACGTGTGCAGGCCACCTAGGGGGTATCTAACATGGGCATCTTGTGGACGGACGTCTGACATGAAGATGTGGTGAGGATGTCTCGAGCAAACCACTTGTTTTCCCTTCCAGTTCGCCCAGCCGGATGTCTAGCATGAGGTGGCACTTCCATCGGCACGTTCCGTAGCGCGTCCCTTTTGGCACGTCCCGCGGTGCGTCCCCATGGCACGTCCCTTAGCACGTCGCTTGGCGCGTCCCTTGGGACGTTCCGCGGCGCGTCCTCCTAGCATGATCCCTTGTCAGTTAGCCCTGAGGGAGCTACTATGTGCTCATGCAGCTCGAGCTTAAGAACCAGATCAGTTCGGTCAGGACTCGGATGCAAAGGAGGACTCGATCCACAACACTATAGAGCACAATCGTGGCATGGCACATCGCAATTCAGCACGGCGCAACACAGCACAGCCCTCGCCACGGTACATCAAGATCGACACATTCAGCATCGCAACTTGGCACGTTCCGTGGCGCGTCCCATGGCGAGTCCCCTTGGCACGTCGCGCGGCGCGTCCCCTGGCACGTCCCGTGCCGCGTCCATTGGCACGTTCCGTAACGCGTCCCTTTGGCACGTCTTGCGGTGCGTCCCCATGGCACGTCCCCCAGCACGTCGCTTCGCGCGTCCTTTGGAGCGTTCCGCGGCACGTCCTCCTAGCATGTCCCCTTGTCAACTAGCTGTGGGGCACCTACTCTGTCCTCAGGCAGCCCGAGCTTAAGATTCAGATCAGTTCGGTCAGGACTCGGATGCAAAGGAAGACTCGATCCACAACACTATAGAGCACAATCTGTAACGCGTCCCTTTGGCACGTCCTGCGGTGCGTCCCCATGGCACGTCCCCTGGCACGTCGCCTAGCGCGTCCCTTGGAACGTTCCGCGACGCGTCCTCCTAGCATGTCCCCTTGTCAACTAGCTGTGGGGGAGCTACTATGTGCTCAGGCAGCTCGAGCTTAAGATTCAGAGCAGTTCGGTCAGGACTCGGATGCAAAGGAGGACTCGATCCACAACACTATAGAGCACAATCGTTGCATGGTACATCGCAGTTCAGCACGGCGCAACACAGCACACCCTCGGCACGGTACATCAAGATCGATACCCTCAGCATTGCAACTTGGCACGTTCCTTGGCACGTTCCGTGGCGCGTCCCGTGGCGAGTCCCCCTGGCACGTCGCGCGGCGCGTCCCCTGGCACGTCCCGTGGCACGTCCATTGGCACGTTCCGTAACGCGTCCCTTTGGCACGTCCTGCGGTGCGTCCCCATGGCACGTCCCCCGGCATGTCGCTTTGCGCGTCCTTTGGAACGTCCTCCTAGCATGTCCCCTTGTCAACTAGCTGTGGGGCACCTACTCTGTCCTCAGGCAGCCCGAGCTTAAGATCCAGATCAGTTCGGTCAGGACTCGGATGCAAAGGAAGACTCGATCCACAACACTATAGAGCACAATCTGTAACGCGTCCCTTTGGCACGTCCTGCGGTGCGTCCCCATGGCACGTCCCCTGGCACGTCGCCTAGCGCGTCCCTTGGAACGTTCCGCGACGCGTCCTCCTAGCATGTCCCCTTGTCAACTAGCTGTGGGGCACCTACTCTGTCCTCAGGCAGCCCGAGCTTAAGATCCAGATCAGTTCGGTCAGGACTCGGATGCAAAGGAAGACTCGATCCACAACACTATAGAGCACAATCTGTAACGCGTCCCTTTGGCACGTCCTGCGGTGCGTCCCCATGGCACGTCCCCTGGCACGTCACCTAGCGCGTCCCTTGGAACGTTCCGCGGCGCGTCCTCCTAGCATGTCCCCTTGTCAACTAGCTGTGGGGCAGCTACTACGTGCTCAGGCAGCTCGAGCTTAAGATTCAGATCAGTTCGGTCAGGACTCGGATGCAAAGGAGGACTCGATCCACAACACTATAGAGCACAATCGTTGCATGGTACATCGCAGTTCAGCACGGCGCAACACAGCACAGCCATCGGCACGGTACATCAAGATCGATACACTCAGCATTGCATTTGCCCGTCGCCCAATCAGGTGTCTTTGAAACGTTGCCATGCCTTACATTTCTGTGTTCCTTTCCGGGTTCGTGGGTCGATCATGTGAGGGCCCCGGGGCCCGAAGTCGGGCGCAGACGTCCAGCATGAGAAACACGCGGCGCCCAGATCCGCGGGGAGCTGCCCCTGGCCGCCAGCTCCCCCCCGCGCGCGTCCCCTTCGCAGGCCCCCGAGCTGCTCGCCGGGGCGCCCCCGGCGACCTCCGGCGACATGTGGGCCTGCGGGGCCGCGGCCTCGGCGGGCACCGGCTTCGGGCTCCCCCCCCTTTGCGCGGACTTGAACAGCTTACAGGGGGAAGCAGAGAACAGAAGTGTAGCATTGGAGACTTGAAGCTGCAACTGATGCAGGAAACAGTACAGTCGGGGCCCTGAAGAAGGAACCCTTTTCGTTGGGGAGGGGCTCTCCTTCAGTGTTTCACAGCTTGCCTCAGGCTTTCCTCATGGTGTCGACAGGAAATCGAAGGTCAACTTATGGAAAAAAGGGGCCTCGTTCCTTATTTAGGGTTCCTTAGGTCAAACCCCATCTCATTCTTTTCCTCTCTACGCGCGCAGGCCTGGGAGGCGGTGCCGCGCGTCTCGCGGTCCCGCCCACCCTCCCTGTGTGGCGTGACGTGCTGGTCGCAATCCGCTTCCCTTCGGGGGGGTAGGTGGCTCTCCTCTTCTGGAGGCGCTGCCGTGGCCTGCGGCAGAAGCAGCACTCTCAACCCTACGGCCTGGTGGCCCCACAAGGGGGCCGGCTCTCCTGGTTCGCCCCGCGCCTGCTCCGCCTCGGGGGGTCAGCTGCGGAGGGGCGGGCACGGGCGCCGTGCGCTGCGCCTTCGAGGGGCCTCGCCTGCCCTCCTCCTCCTCCTCCTCCTCCTCCTCCTCCTCCTCCTCCTCCTCCTCCTCCTCCTCCTCCTCTCCTCCTCCCCCTCCTCCTCTCCTCCTCTCCTCCTCCCTCCTCCCCTCCTCCCCCCTCCTCCCCCTCCTCCTCCTCCTCCTCCTCCTCCTCCCTCCTCCTCCTCCCCCCCCTCCTCTCCTCCTCCTCCTCCTCCTCCGAGGGAGGGACAAAGCCCAGACGTGCTCGCGGCGTGAAGAAGATCACGGCGGGAGGTTCTTCCCGGAAAGGGCGTAGGCCCAGGGCACTCTTGTAGTTGTTTCCCCTTGGTGGCGAAATTATTCTGTAATGAATAACGAGGTCGCGTAGGGCCGGCGAGTTAAAAAGTTGAGGATGTCCCTAGCGAAATGGCTGCTTTATATAAGTGAGTTGAGGATGTCTCAGGCGAAACGCTTGTTTTGCAGAGTTGGGGGATGGCTCGAGGAGAGGCCTCGTGGGGGGGGGGGGCCAGAATTCACAGGATGTCTCAGGCGAAATGCTTGTTTTCACGTGCCCAGATCGGCCAGGAGAGTATCTAACATGGTTGTCCCTCGCTGGCGCCCCAGACGACGGCATGTTGGATATCTCCCCTGGGTGGGCTGGAACCATGAGTTTTTACGTGTGCAGGCCATCAGGGGGGTATCTCACGTGATGGTCCCGAGCAGGAATGGCGTGTTTTCACGTGTCCAGGCCACCCAGGGGTGTATCTAACGTGGTTGCCCAGAGCTGGATCCACGTGTTTCTATGTGTCCAGGCCACCCAGTGGGGTATCGAACATGGTTGTCCCCAACTGGAACCACGTGTTTTCACGTGTGCAGGCCGCCCAAGGGGGTATCTAGCATGGCGTCGGGCCCAACGCCGAATTATCAGGAAACACACGGGGGGCCGAAAAGCGCTACTCGAACACATTTCCCAGTACAAAAAACTATGTGTTCTTGCTCTGGACAGGGGTTGGCGCTTTGGGGGCCTCTCCAGGGAAGACATTGCGAGGATGTCTCAAGCGAGAGCGCGAATTCATCGTACGCAGGCCCCGCAGGAGGGTATCTAACATGGTTGTCCCGAGCTGGAACCACGTGTTTTTACATTCCAGGCCACCCGGGGGATATCTAACATGGTTGTCCCGAGCTGGAACAGCATGTTTTTACATTCCAGGCCACCTGGGGGGGGTATCTAACATGGTTGTCCCGAGCTGGAACCAAGTGTTTTTACGTTTCCGGGCCACCCAGGGGGCATATCTAACATGGTTGTCCCGAGCTTGAGCCAAGTGTTTTTACGTGTCCAGGCCACCCAGGGAGGTATCTAACATGGTTGTCCCGAGCTGGAACCATGTGTTTTTACGTGTCCAGGTCACCCAGGGGGTATCTAACATGGTTGTCTCGAGCTGGCACCACGTGTTTTTGCATGTCCAGGCCACCCAGGGGGATATCTAACATGGTTGCCCCGAGCAAGGACCACGTGTTTTTACGTGTCCAGGTCACCCAGGGGGGTATCTAACATGGTTGCCTAGAGCTGGATCCACGTGTTCTTACGCGTCCAGGCCACCCAGTGGGATATCTAACATGATTGTCCCGAATTGGAACCACGTGTTTTTACGTGTCCAGGCGGGTATTTAACATTGCGGAACCACGTGCTTTAACGTGTCCAGGCCACTTAGGGGGTATCTAACATGGGCCTCCTGGGGCCTTCCTGGGGGCCTGGAACGGACGTCTAACATGAAGATGTGTTGAGGATGTCTCGAGCGAACCACTTGTTTTCACGTGTCCAGTTCGCCCAGGCGGATGTCTAGCATGAGGATGTGTTGAGAATATGTTAAGCGAAACGCTTGTTTGCACGTGTCCAGGTCGCCCAGGCGGATGTCTAGCATGATGATTTGGGCAAGATGTCTCGAGCGAAACGCTTGTCCCCAGCACGTTCCGTAGCGCGTCCCTTTGGCACGTCCCGCGCTGCGTCCCCGTGGCACGTCCCTTGGCACGTCGCCTGGCGCGTCCCTTGGAACGTTCCGCGGCGCGTCCTCCTGGCATGTCCGCTTGTCGATTAGCTCCAGGGCAGCTACTATGTGCTCAGGCAGCTCGAGCTGAAGATCCAGATCAGTTCGGTCAGGACTCGGATGCAGAGGAGGACTCGATCCACAACGCTGTAGAGCACAATCGCGGCATTGCACATCGCAATTCAGCACGGCGCAGCACAGCACAGCCCTCAGCACGGTACATCAAGATCGATACACTCAGCATTGCAACCTGGCACGTTCCTTGGCACGTTCCGTGGCGCGTCCCGTGGCGAGTCCCCCTGGCACGTCGCGCGGCGCGTCCCTTGGCACGTCCCGTGGCACGTCCATTGGCACGTTCCGTTGCGCGTCCCTTTGGCACGTCCCGCGATGCGTCCCCATGGCACGTCCCCTGGCACATCGCTTGGCGCGTCCTTTGGGACGTTCTGCGGCGCGTCCTCCTGGCATGTCCCCCTGTCACTTAGCTCTGGGGCAGCTACTATGTGCTCAGGCAGCTCGAGCTGAAGATCCAGATCAGTTCGGTCAGGACTCGGATGCAAAGGAGGACTCGATCCACAACGCTGTAGAGTACCATCGCGGCATGGCACATCGCAATTCAGCACGGCGCAGCACAGCACACCCTTCGGCACGGTACATCAAGATCGATATACTCAGCATTGTGTTTGCCTGTCGCCGAATCTGATGTCTTTGAAACATTGCCATGCCTTACAGTTCTATATTCCTTTCCGGGTTCGTGGGTCGATCATGTTGGCCGTTTCCAGCTTCCAGGGGCCCTCGCCAGATCCCAGGACCGTCAAAAAACGATTCGGGATGAAAACCGGGCCCCGGGGAAAGGATAGGGACTTCCTGGTATTGCGCGCAGATGTCTCCAGGATTTCTCTAGCCCCGCGCATGTGTTGCAGAAAGATTGTTCCCGGAAAGGGCGTAGGCCCAGGGTTCTCTTTTAGTTCCCAACCATCCTGTGGTGTTGGGTCCTCGTTTTGAAGAGACGGTTCCCCGCGTTCCCCTCCTCCTTCCTCCTCCCCCTCCTACCTCCTCCCCCTCCTTGCCTCTGCTCTCGGCACACCTCTCACGCGTTTCGTAGCCCCATAGGGAGCTCCACCGAAGGCCCCAGTGGGGGTGTTCGCATGCGGTTCCCCCACCCAGGGCAGCGTTTCGTGGCCCCATAGGGAGCTCCACCGAAGGCCCCAGTGGGGGTGTTCGCATGCGGTTCCCCCACCCAGGGCAGCGTTTCGTAGCCCCATAGGGAGCTCCACCGAAGGCCCCAGTGGGGGTGTTCGCATGCGGTTCCCCCACCCAGGGCAGCGTTTCGTGGCCCCATAGGGAGCTCCACCGAAGGCCCCAGTGGGGGTGTTCGCATGCGGTTCCCCCACCCAGGGCAGCGTTTCGTAGCCCCATAGGGAGCTCCACCGAAGGCCCCAGTGGGGGTGTTCGCATGCGGTTCCCCCACCCAGGGCAGCGTTTCGTGGCCCCATGCGGTTCCCCCACCCAGGGCAGCGTTTCGTGCCCCATAGGGAGCTCCACCGAAGGCCCCAGTGGGGGTGTTCGCATGCGGTTCCCCCACCCAGGGCAGCGTTTCGTAGCCCCATAGGGAGCTCCACCGAAGGCCCCAGTGGGGGTGTTCGCATGCGGTTCCCCCACCCAGGGCAGCGTTTCGTGGCCCCATAGGGAGCTCCACCGAAGGCCCCAGTGGGGGTGTTCGCATGCGGTTCCCCCACCCAGGGCAGCGTTTCGTGGCCCCATAGGGAGCTCCACCGAAGGCCAGTGGGGGTGTTCGCATGCGGTTCCCCCACCCAGGGCAGCGTTTCGTGGCCCCATAGGGAGCTCCACCGAAGGCCCCAGTGGGGGTGTTCGCATGCGGTTCCCCCACCCAGGGCAGCGTTTCGTAGCCCCATAGGGAGCTCCACCGAAGGCCCCAGTGGGGGTGTTCGCATGCGGTTCCCCCACCCAGGGCAGCGTTTCGTGGCCCCATAGGGAGCTCCACCGATAGGGATGCGGTTCCACCGATAGGGAGCCCCACCGAAGGCCCCAGTGGGGGTGTTCGCATGCGGTTCCCCCACCCAGGGCAGCGTTTCGTGCGCCCCATAGCCCCATAGGGAGCTCCACCGAAGGCCCCAGTGGGGGTGTTCGCATGCGGTTCCCCCACCCAGGGCAGCGTTTCGTGGCCCCATAGGGAGCTCCACCGAAGGCCCCAGTGGGGGTGTTCGCATGCGGTTCCCCCACCCAGGGCAGCGTTTCGTGGCCCCATAGGGAGCTCCACCGAAGGCCCCAGTGGGGGTGTTCGCATGCGGTTCCCCCACCCAGGGCAGCGTTTCGTAGCCCCATAGGGAGCTCCACCGAAGGCCCCAGTGGGGGTGTTCGCATG